GACTGCTTTGAAATGTGCACTACGTTCCGACGGTAGTGCTAAGCAAACAGTTAAATTTTAAAAGCGCGGTTATAAGATCTAAAAGATCTTCTTGTTTTTATTAGTTGCGCTTATATTGCATGGCTTTGTTCGAAACCGTTCTGAACTGTCTGTCTTTCTCTGGCGGCAGTCCGTGCCTCCTATTTTCTATTAAATTTCTACCGTTTTTATGAATAATGTTTGAAAATACGGTGTCGGATCTTAATTAGTGGAAATATTATTGGCAGTTAGGGCGTCCAAATCGTTGCTCTCTGTAGTAATTAAAGGGTGAAGCAGGCTGTAATACTTTCTTTCTGATCGCCATCACCTCATAGGAAAATAATTGAACTTTTTTTCTTAACACTCAATTCATTCAAAAGAGGCCTCAAGAGTGCAGCGATCTCGGGACGACAGTGAACTCAAAAGTGAGTTACCAGACGAGCCCGCCAATATACATGGCCATGTAACGGAGGTCAACGACATTGTTCAAGCCCTCTCAGACAACAGCAGCAAGGCAGTTGCAGCAGTCCTTGTCAGTGGAATTTCAGGAATTGGAAAAACTACTGTTGCGATTCAAGCTTGTCATCAGCTAGCAAGCAAGCATGGCAGCATCGTCAAGTTTTGTTCTTTGAGATTTGTTCAGTCGGGTGAAGAGAGTGGTGATCATGAGGAGAGTAAAGGGGAAAGAGAGCTGAGGGAGATTTTGAACGTGTGTGTACCAGGTCATCAACAGACCAATGAGAACCCCAGACATGTCTTACTTAACTGGTGCAGGCGACTTGAACATGAGCTAATACTTGCTCTTGACAATGCAGAAGATGCAATGGAAGAGGATGTTAGAGACTCTTTTATTGAATTGTTAAAAGAGATGAAGAAGTGCTCACAGTCCAAACTCAAGTTCCTGATCACTTCAAGACGTTCAGACATTGGTCGTGCCACGGGTTTGAACGTCAAGGCTATCAAACTAGGCCCCTTGGATTTAGAGGACAGCATTGAAGTTCTCAAGACTGACGCTAAATTGGAATCTAAATCTGAGGACCTGCGGGATAACTTGCAACAGATAGCCGAACTCTGTGAGCATATCCCATTGGCACTTCAACTAGCGGGTCATCTCCTTTCATCAGAGTCTGAATATACTGTTGAAGAACTTATTCAACAGCTACAAAACAACCCTACAAAAACACTTGGGTGTGAACGAATGATGGAAATAGCTTTTGAAAAACTAGACGAGTCGTTGCAATCAGCTTTAGTTTGCCTTTCTGTGTTCGTTAGATCTTTTGACAGGAATGCAGCAAAAACATTATTAGGCATTGACTATGCTGAATACTTAATGAAGTTGAAAGAAAGGTGTCTGATACAGAAACGGGATGACCGATACCTCATTCACTTATTGATTAGAAGTTACGCAAGACAAATTGGAAGAAAGAAGCTTCCCCACATTCTGGCGCATGGCCAACAGGCATTTCTTGAGTACTTTTTGTCTCTGATTTTAAGTAATGCCAAGGCATATTGGGGAAAAGATACATGTAAAGACTCTTTTGATCTGTTTAATGCAGAAAGGCTTAATTACGAGTCCGCACTTAGGGATTTCAGCAACAGGAAAATCAGGAACTGTAAACAACTGGAAGATGTTGTCAATGACTGTCGGCTGGTGGCACCTTACATAGGAACGTGCGTTCCTATTAATCTTTATGAAGACTTCTTGAAAGGTCTTCAACATTTTGCCAAACTTCAAGAGAAAGTAATCCACAGAGTGGAAATTTTGTGCCTTCGTTACCACGAAGGAAGGAAACGTGGTGGTGCCAGGAAGGAGTTGCAAGAGAAAGCAATTAAATTGCATGACGAAAATAGCGACCTTTTTGAACAAAACGGTTTGTCTGAGGTATTTTATGCCAGCCATTTTGCTAGATACCTCTTACAAGATTGTAATCGAGGAGAGGAAGGACAACCTGTTTTGAAAAAGGCACTTTCAGTTTATGAAAACGAAAAAGCTGAAAGTTTTGAAAAGGAAAATCCTGAATCTACATACGATGTGGCAAGAATTCAGGGGCAAATGGGGCATAACGCAAAAACACAGGGAAGAACCGAGGAGGCTTGTGAAAACTATTTAGAAGCTTTAAAGCTTCTAAAGGACGGTTACGGCAATCACATTTTGACTGCGTTTGCACACAAAGATGTGGCAGATTCGTATTTGTACGTTCATCAATATTCTAAGGCGGAAGAAAACTACCAGAAAGCAATGGGAATTTTGGAAGAGATGCAAAAAGCGGACCACAGAGAAGCAATTCCAGTCTTTAAAAACTGGGGAATCTGCTTTGAAAAGTCTTGTAAGTTTGACCAATCCCGCGAAAAGTACGAGAAGGGAAGTGACATTGCTGAAAACACTATTGAGGGAAATCACAAATGGAAGGTTTGGATCAAAACCTACTTGGCATTGCTTCTTTACACAAGATACCCAGAGGACGTTAGTACAGCTAACAGAATTGCCAGGGAAGTTCTTCAAATGGGAAAAGAACTTAAATTGAAGGACTGGCCGATGAAGAAAGAACTTGAGGAAATGTGTAAAACTCATTAGACAATTTGAGATGAGATTTAAAAATTTCGATGATTTTTGTACTATTTTCTAGTTTTTCTGTAGTGCTACCTTCTTTTAGTAATCATTTAAATACGTAGCAGTAGAATCTTGTGTAACGGCCACTCGTTGATGGGGCTGCCTCATCATTATGGCCACTTCAATTACTTAAACAAAGTAAGAGATCAGCCAGTAACTGTTTCTAATCGACCTTCCGCTTCTTCTCCAATTCGAAAATAAGCTTTGCTATAAAATACTACAAAGGGAATGTCATTAGAATACATAGCCTGTAGTCTCTAAGGAGAAAGCTTGAAACCAGAATGGTCGACGTCCTACACAGAGCAGTTTATTGGGACCTTTACCGTTCCTCATTTTTACAGTTATCGTTTTATTTAGTGTAGTTTGAGAGTTAAGGACAATGGGAAATCCTCATCAGGAAGACAAAAGGTGGCCGCGGCCGCTCAGTAGAGGTAGCCGGTTAAAAAGGGTTTTATTCACAGTATTTCCTGACAATAATCTCGGGACTTTGATAACTAGCTGCTCAATGAGGGATGGCCGCTTAACACTGGTTCGACTGTATAACTTATTATGGCCAGTACGGTTACATCGACAAAAAATAGGTAGTTGCAACTAAGGCAAGGTCAAGAAATGCTGTCGATGGACAGTGTTATAGAATTCACTGAACGATTGAATAAATTTCATTGATTATTACACATTGAACTCACTATCTCTTTTCTGATTGGCCGAAAGCGTACAGTGAATTTTCGAAATCAGCGCCTGTGACGTCATCTAGCTGCAGATTATACAATATTCATGTCAAGGACACTCAAGGTCACGGGTAATCATGTCATATATGACCGCGGTGCATGATTTCTAAGAGTAATCATGTCAAGTTCGCGCGCTTTGTGTTGCTTGCCGTCAGTGAAGAAGCAAAAACATGACTTGCATTCTTTTTTTCGTTCAATGTATAATAAAACACTTCTTAGATTCGGTTTTTGTGATATCCAGAATAATCAAGGTCTCGGTAAGGGTGATAAGCCCCTCCTCGACTTTGATTCTTCTGTATATCACAAAAACCTCATCCAATAATTGTTTAAAATCAGAGCTTTTTGTTGAGACGAACAGCAAAATGTATTTTCTGACTTCAAAGACTGCTAGAAATGCTGCATGGAGCAATTTCATTCGGACTTCAGATTTAGTCTCACTGTTTTTTGTAGTTGTCTGCGTTTTATTGTATTTTGGCGTCATTTTAGAATCGTCTTAAAGACAATATTTAATGTTGTATTTAGGTTAGGTGTTATTTGATCCGTGGTGGCAATGCTCACTGTCACGTTAATCAAATCTTTACCATAGGGTTGTATGTTGCACTGATGTATCGCGAGTAGTAAGTAGGAAGAACCTTATGAGTTTTGAGTTAGTTATAGGTTAGCCTCGTTTTTGGACGCCTTGGTTTTTTAGTAACAAGCTTCGTCTTAGTCTTATTTGCTTCTATATCGTTTTTCTTTCTGGCTAAAAATGTTTTGAAATGAATTTTATTTTAAGCATCTGAGACTTACTTTTCACGTCGTATTTGAGTCGCGTGAAATATAACTCCAGTCACAGAAAACTCACAGTGTCCACAGAAATGGCAAAGTAGAACTAGTTGATAACATGGTGTATTGGCCCAGCTGCTAACGACAAAAATTGTTCAGTTTTTGATAAAAGCATGAAACTTTGCAAGATTACTTGCATCCACGTGAAGAACATTTTTCAGTTAGCTACCGGAGCTTCGTGCTGCGCATGTCCAAAATCACATCTTCATGAAAACGAAGCTCAGATAAATAATCGTATTTTGAGTGTAGGTTCTATATATAAATACTCTTTTGACGTTGAATCGTGGTTGTGTCGGCATGCGCACTATTTTCAATCATGTGACCTTAATCTCGTGACCCGTCACGTCACTCGCGAAAGGTCCAGCTCTTAAAGAATAAATTTTTTTTCGGGAGGGGGGAGGGGGGAGTATGACAATGCCACATTACTTAGCTCACCAAGAGAAACATTTCAAGGTTAGGGACCAGCCTTGGTTAGCTGCTGGACCTTTGTGCTGAGTTTGTTCCAAAGCACGACCGACAACGACGACGACCGAAAACGAGGCTAAGATAAATAACCGAATTTTGCAGTGTAGTTTATATACGTATTTCAACACACGATATTTTAAGGAGATAATTTTACCAGGCCATTATTGCTCGTGAGATTTTGACGTTTTTAGATTACTCTTATAAAGTCTTAAGACAAACCCGAAATCGTAATAAATATTGGATTTCAGCATAGGCGATACAAATTAACGCGTATTCATAAACAGAGACGCCAAATTCTTATTTTTGATGCCCTTTAATCAAACATCTTTCAAAATTAATTAGTTGCATCCCAGTACTCTCTGAATCAGTTTCTCGCGTAGAGCAACATGTACGTTTGTCATATTTAAGCTGCAGAGATTCCGCTATTTACTCATGTCTGATATTTCTCTAATCCGTTCATTCGCTTAATATCTTATGCTATTTTGCGGTAGTCCAATAGATAAATGTTTTTCAGAGGCGACACCCACAGTCTGAATTTCAGTTGAGAAATAAAATGTCACTTTTCAGTGGTTTTTCACGTTCTAAATGTGTTTTTTCTCGACTCTGGGAATAGATCGTAACACAATGACTATGTTTGAGCTATTTTGTGGTTTATCAACCCTTTTTTTTTCCTTTTCAATGTTTTCCCACACGAGGTGTAAAACGGAATTTGTTCTGTCATATCTCAGACACGCGCGTGTGGTATTTGAAAGGACAAACATGGTTAACGCTGAGGACAGCAACGGGCATTATAGATCATGATGCATACGACAAGAACGAGCAAAAGTCTTGTTTTTTAAGAAAACAGAAGGTTTTCCGGGAAATCACGCGGAAATGTCAGATCTCGAAGTCATCTGCAGATGGTACCAAACCAAATATTAGAAAGTTGTTTCCAGCCACTGGATGTCATTTCCCTTTCTTTGTTTACGAAATAATATTGTGTGACATTTTGTAATTTTATGCACGATGAGTTGCTCACTTTTTATTTGTATAACTCACCACTACTCACTTTAAAACCTTGGCAATCGATCTTTTTACACCTTTATTGTTGGGAAAAACTTAATTTTGAGCTCTGCAAACACGGTACTCACTTTTCATTGTTAAGAATTGTTTTAAAGTCAACTCTTCCACACTGAATCACGTGAGAACTGTTGTATTCATTGCCAGCGTGTTGTGATATGACTTTTGTGAAATAATTTCGAAAAAGCACCATAAATTTCGTGTTGAAAAATGTTTTCGCTGGTTTTCTTAGTTGATACTTTGAGGAAATTGAATTTACACTGTCTTTCTTCGCCGCTGAGTACCGTGCGATGACCAGTAAACGCTGACGTCTCTACCCAAAGAGTATAGCGCCTCAGTATCTTCGTACACACTGATACGCACTGTAATAACTGTTAAGGTGATCACTAAGATTGATTTAAATACCAAATTTTCCATTTAAATACTTGAAGTATCTGCACAACTGTACATTTCAATGTAAACAATTCGTTACGTATCCAAATCAAGCGACGCCATTATCACTGCCATCACATACAAAAGTTTCTATGTTGTTTGAGATCAACACGTTTCCCGGTGGGTCCAAAACCATTGAAAAATATGGAAAAGCCGTGTAAAAGCTTTTAGAAATGCCTTTCCAATCTCAGATGTTTACATTCTCGGGTCCTAAATGCACTTATCAAGGCTAAAAGACATCTTAATTGTGCATTTTTCCATGAGACGTGAAAATCAGACAATCGTGGACAAAAGTCCTTGGGACACTTACGTAATTTAACGAATTACCCGTGTTTTACTACTGAAGTTTTAAAAACGCGTAACTGTCCCCCCCCNGGACAAAAGTCTTAGGGACCGTAATTTAACGAATTGTATGTGTTTTACTACTGAAGTTTGGTTTCCTTTTAAAAACGCGTTACTGTCCCCCCTCCCCACCCAATAAAATGTTGAAAATCAAAAGAAATTGCAGGTAGTAGTTTTCAGCATTGTAGGGGGGTTGAGGGACGAGGTTAGGCAGGTGAAGTTGTATTTGCGTCTGGCATGTGGGCAAAAGCGCTAAAAGTGTAATTTTGTCCCAAAACTTTTGTCCATGATTGTACATGTATTTAAAACATCTTTAGTTACAGTTACCACCACAGTTGCACAAGCCTGTGCAAGTCAAACTTGCCTTTTAACATTTACAACAACCTGTGCTTGCAGTCTTGTACATGCCGCAGATGAGTTCATAGCACGTGTCTTTCATCTACGGCAGTGTCATCCACTCTGGAGTCAAGGACTTGTCATCATGTTGTCATTCTCATTCAGAGGGGTTTGGACGAACTGGTTGCGTTATAAGAGTTTGAGCCCAAACGTGCCCACCTTGGTGCACTGAACGCTTGGTGTGTTGTAGGAGTGCTGTAGGAATGTTTTCCAGGGTCGTAGACTTCTTAAAACTGGTTGGAGTCGGAAGAATCAGAACGTTTCCACTCCTCCCGATTCCGTTTACGACTCCGTCGCTTATGATCCAGTGAAGACTAGATTGTCAGAGTTGGAAGCTTTCAATAACTATAAAATTTTTCAAGTCTCGCATTATTGCTCGAATGTTCAGCGGAAATCATCTTAAATTCCTGGTCGTCAAATGAAAACAGGGGTGCTTACCATTTACAAAAACCATCCGGTTGGAAATTTCTGGCATAAACATTAAACAATTAAATGCGACGTTGTGGGAGAAGGAATCGCTATAAAGTATATCCACATCAGTTAGAGAGACTTAAAAAAGCAGAAAAATAGCATCACCTCAAATCACAGCCCATATTTTCTGAAGCTTCCCTAACGGAATGGCGCGAACCATTTGATTTTCCAACTGGAATTTCCGGTTTTCCCATGTAAATGGTAAGTACCCCAGGCTACTGCTGGTTTTTCTATAATTTTCCAAAATTACTGTGCAACGGCGAATTTTCTCATAAAAACTCTTCACTGGCATGGACTTTGACACTGCGATATATCTGTCTCTACTGACCTCGGTTGTTGATGAAAAATTGTGATTTTACCAATAGTTAGCTAGTAAAATCGTTTATTTAAGGTATATACATCGAAGTGACGGCGTTGAACGCATTCATAATCTTAGATTACTACTAGTTTGAGCCTTGTTTCAGTCTGTTTTTTGTCTTTAGGTGTTGGAGCGCAATTGAAGTCACCCCCTCCTCTTATCACCTCTAATCTAGTATCTGGTGTTAACAAGAATCATCACACTTTTTGCTTTGGTTGGATCCATGGCTGTAAAAGATATTTCCTCCACATTCCGACCGCAAAATGTTTATAGATTGTTCCGTACTAAAGGTTTCCTGGAGAAAATAGCAGTGAGCGGTCTGCCTATGAAGCCAGTTAAAGATTTTCCTAAATTTAAAAGAATTATTTAAACCTCTTACATAAAAGGAAAGCCCATACACCCTGTACAAAAAAATAACAACACGATAACACCTATTGTGTAAGAACGCTTCTAAGTGAGTGTTGTGGTTAGCCGGTGTATGCAAATTCGGCTCTACTTAGGTTGCTCTTTTTTGTTGATAAAGTGGACTATAGATTAAGAATTAATAGAGAAAAACGAGAAACGAAGCTTTAAAATTAAAGCATAGTTCCAAGAAGCAGAAATTAACTTACGTTTTGTTCCGGAATGGTCCCACAGGAAAATTCTTCTTCACCCACGATAAGAAGTCGATC